TGCCCGTCTTGTGAAAGCCCTTTCTGCGGGCGTCCGCCCACACATCCCATCCACCCACGCTGCCGATGTACCTGAATCTGATCTTTTTGCATGGCAGTCTGCCATCGTATGCGAGCTTGTGCGCCTGGTGTGTAGCACATGCGATGGCCTCAACAGCTGCTACCGACTGTCGAGAGGAATGAGAGCAGCGCTTCCTCTGTTGCCACAAGGGAGGTGAATATCAAATTCATACATCACCAGACTCTCGCCAGGGAGTGACTTCGTGAGCACTTGCACACGTATGTCACCGTCTCTGTCTGTCCCCGGGCCTCGGCGTCCCCTTGCCACCTGACAGCTACCGTAAGCAATACAAGTGAATGTGGACAGTACTTACTTGTACGTACACAGTAAATCGTCCCGGTGGATATCGGCAGGAGGGAGGGGGAAAAAAAGCTGTGCAGCATCTGCATCTCTTGGACCCACCAACAAAACGGAAGCAGACAAAACGAGCACAAGATTTCCAGGGAATTGGACCTGGGCCGTTGTCCGACTTGGGAAGCTCCACTCCCCCGCGGTTCCATTCGCCCCTGCCGCATCCTGAATTCCCAACAAGACGTTGCTGCATTGAATCTCGAATAATAACAAGGCTCCATACCCTCCAATACTCTTTTTCCTTTTCGTTTGCCTGGCTGTTTGTGTCAACTTCTTCCTTCTGACCCAAATCACCAACCCCCACCCCACGCACCTTTTCAAGTCTTCAATATCTTCAGAGCCTCATAGTTCTGGGTATTCCCACACAACCGAGGGAGGCTTGTTTGTCCTGGACGTCCAACACCCACCGTCCTCACAACACATCTCTCCCCAACATGGCGTCCTCCACACCTGTGGCCCAGGTTCCGGGCCAGGTCCAGCCAGATGGCACTGTCGACTACAAGCCAGCCCGTGGAAAGTCTTATGACCTGAAGAAGCCACACATCACCGAGCAGCCCATCACGCTCAAGAACTGGTACAAGCATGTCAACTGGCTCAACGTCACCTTCATCATCTTCGTCCCCTTGCTGGGATTGTGAGTCTCCTCCCTCCTGGTTGCGCCGAGGTCGAGGACGCCAAGTAACAAAATGACTAACAATGTGATCAGAATTTCTACCTACTGGGTGCCTCTTCAGTTCAAGACCGCTGTGTGGTCCGTCATCTACTACTTCAACACCGGCCTCGGTATCACCGCCGGCTACCATCGTCTTTGGGCACACCGCAGTTACAAGGCTTCCTTGCCTCTCAGGATTTACCTCGCAGCTGTTGGAGCCGGTGCCGTCGAGGGATCTATTCGCTGGTGGTCCAGGGAGTAAGTTGAAATTCTGTGACGACTTGTTTTGTTGAATGTACTGACCAAAGTAAACAGTCACCGTGCCCACCACCGCTACACCGACACTGTCAAGGACCCCTACTCTGTGAGGAAGGGCCTGATGTACAGCCACATTGGTTGGATGGTTATGAAGCAGAACCCCAAGCGAATCGGCCGAACCGACATCACCGACCTCAACGAGGACCCCGTCGTCGTCTGGCAGCACCTGAACTTCATCAAGTCCGTCATCTTCATGGGTGTTGTGTTCCCGACCTTGGTCGCCGGTCTTGGCTGGGGTGACTGGTGGGGCGGCTATGTGTACGCCGGCATCCTTCGCATCTTCTTTGTCCAGCAGGCAACCTTCTGTGTCAACAGTCTGGCCCACTGGCTGGGAGACCAGCCTTTCGACGACCGCAACAGCCCCAGGGACCACGTTATCACGGCGCTCGTCACTCTGGGCGAGGGATACCACAACTTCCACCACGAGTTCCCCTCCGACTACCGTAACGCAATCAGCTGGTGGCAGTACGACCCTACCAAGTGGTCCATCTGGGTCTGGAAGCAGCTCGGCCTCGCCTCCGACCTCAAGACCTTCCGCCAGAACGAGATCGAGAAGGGTCGTCTCCAGCAGCAGCAGAAGAAGCTGGACCAGAAGCGGTCCAATCTTGACTGGGGTGTGCCTCTCGAGCAGCTGCCTGTCATCGACTGGGACGACTACGTCGAGCAGGCCAAGAGCGGCAGGGGCCTGGTTGCCATCGCCGGTGTCATCCACGACGTGACCGACTTCATTAAGGATCACCCCGGTGGTAAGGCCCTCATCTCCTCGGGCATCGGAAAGGATGCCACCGCCATATTCAACGGTGGTGTCTACCTTCACTCCAATGCTGCCCACAACCTGCTGAGCACGATGCGTGTTGGTGTCCTCCGCGGAGGTTGCGAGGTCGAGATCTGGAAGCGCGCACAGATGGAGAACAAGGACGTCTCGTTTGTCAACGATTCGTCAGGAAACCGAATCATTCGTGCCGGCAATCAGCCACAGAGGTCTCCATGCCTGTTGCGAGCGCTGACGCCGCATGAGCGAGCGAAGGATTTGTTTTGAAGTCTTTCGAGTCAGCGAGAGGGAAGACTCGGTGGTACTGATGCGGGGATGGTACTCCCACCGCCGCTAGCGTCCCCAGGATACACTGATGATCGTTCGGATTTTGCCGCACAGGCTCTCTCGTTTTCTAGCACGGCTACATTTTCTCGAAAGATTGGGTTTTTAGAGGCGTTCAAGGGTTTACCGGGTACAGGAAAGGCGGAGTTTTGAGCGCGTTTATTTTGTCCGGAAAATGGAGGGATGCACCGCACTGTTCGAGTCTCCCATTCCGCAAGAGCATAGCAGATAGTATTCTCATGTGAACAAGGTCATTTTAGGCCCACCTTTCGTTTTCAAGCGCTGCGAATCATTGAAAGAAAAAAATCAACCCAGTACCGTGCAATTCCATATGACACACAATTGAGCAGGATGCCATGAACATTGAGAACCCCATCTCTTGCCTCATGTGCCAGGAGGTTGTAATTGATGTGGTTAAGAGGGTGTTAATTTTGGTAGGAAGGACAGTATCCCGGATGGTATTCCCATGCTGAGAATTTGACTAAAGATGGAGATAATATAGAGCGGAACTACTTTGTATTATCTTTTTGCTACGATACCTTGTTTCACTGGTGGTGCGGAATGTAACAAAAGGCCAGTGACTCTTGAATTCAAATCGTCTTGGCAAAGAGATACCTCAAGAGCATTATCGAGCACAGCCGAAGAGTAAAAATCGTCTTGCAGCGAGGTAGATTCAGGAAATGGCGACGACGGCGGATCGGGAAGCACGAGTTTCCATCCTCTACCATCCACCAACACCAACACACACAATTCCCAACTACCCACCACCCGTCACTCCTTGAAGTAAAACATGCCTTAGTAGTCCTGGCACATAGTAGCTACACCGACACATTTTTATCATCATCGTGTATTCGTGTAGAGAAAGGTGAGCAAGGAGAGTAGTGAACAAAACAGCATATACATACGCTTGAATCATATTGTCTCTAGGGAACAGCAGAGGTTTCAAGATGAGGGCCCAATCAGTACTAACGTGGTTGGACAGTCAGCGAACGATGACACTAAGCGAGCGATTTTTAGGTAAACCACCAACTTTAGCCAACCCCAGCAGCCACCCAGGGCAAAAAGGTCAATTGTATTTGGCACCAATTGGTGCCAATTGCTTTAAACTCCTTATTTTAACATGATTTGGTCAATTTGGAGGTGTGGTGGGGGTGCAGTGCCAGTCTGAAAGTTTAAGGTTTTGGTGGGCTGGTTTGTTTTTGGTGCAGATCGCGTCCCTATTTTTCGCGTCAGTCTCGCATCATTCTACCTACTTAAATACTCTACACGCTAGAAATCAACAACCATAATGCCAATCTACTCAAAAGAAGACAAGATCCTTCTAGCCCTTCAGGCTATTACAAAATCAAAAACAACCAATAAAAAACCCTTAAGTGCGCTTCGGGCTGCACAGATCTATGGTGTCCCTTACTCCACTCTTAAGCACAGGATGAATAACCGATCTCATCCAGACTTGCGTATTGTGATATGCTTAAGTGATATCACACTGTGCTAAAGTGCTAAATGTCACGGCCAGCACGAGATGCAGCATGGGAGCTGGGTCTATTGGCGCTATCAACGAATATTCTAAGCTGAGGAGAGGAAAAGAAAGGGGAGAACGAAGCTCTGGCGGTCCCTGGCTCGCGAAGTCTTGACGCGACTGTGGGGCTAAGGGTTAGGGCCCTTGTGACGGCCAGGTGGCTTGCCTACCATGGCTGCCGTCACACCTTACTGCGACCCTGCCGAATGAAACCCACTGCTGAAGGCACTATCCTTCAGAAGATGTTTAAAACCTTTTTCCTTTTTATCTTTATATCTAATCACCTATATAGCAACTCCTAAAGGTATAAATATTGTCAGATTATCACCCTTTTAGGTATATGGGACGTGTAATTATGGTCCAATTGATGGGGTGGTCACTGTGTGTATTGTGATCATCTCTTGTCTAGGTTCTCTAGCGCGACCCCTCCCGTTGGGGGCTGGTTTTGTCATGACGGACATATTGATGCCTCAGGCACACACCTCTTGGCTACCCGTCACATCTGACAAGAATAGAAAATAACGTGGTTCACCAGTCAGCCGGTCATACCACATGCCTGGTCAGTTTCAGCAAGTCTGCCAACTTTAGCCAACCCCAGCACCTACACAGGGCAAGAATATCAATAAAAGTTGGCACCAATTGGTACCAACTGGTCTAAATTCCTCATTTTCAATTGATTTGATCAATTTGGAGGTGTTGGCGTGGCTGCAGTACCAGTCTGAAGTGGCTAACTTTTGGTGGGAAAATTGGCTTCCCCACCAAAATGGAGCGTTTTAGCTACCCGTGGGTGGCCCTGCTTCGCTTCACCCACTGCTGGCGCAGTGGGCGCCAAAACCGGTTCGCAGCCAAAAGGGGTTCGCATCCGAGCGTTTTTTTTTGGTACCAAAACTCAAACATTCGCATGCTACATCCACCACTTCCCACAACCATCGCCGCCACTAAATCGCATATACTATATTCGGCAAAAGTGAGGTTATCTTAACCTTCTAAACGCATAAAGACAACAGTCCCTATTGGATTTGAACCAATGACCTCCCACTAGTATGCACAAGCTACAAGATGGTCGTTTAGAGTAGGCGCTCTGCCGACTGAACTAAGGGATTTAGACCATTCGTAACAAGTGCGATAATCGGTCCTCTGCTTAGACTTATAAACATGGTGGTGAGGAGGGTATTTCGTAGTTAACTGGCCCACTGCTTCCCTCTTCGCCCAGTGGTGGGTATGGGGCACAGTTACTTGGAGATGAGACGATCGAAACTTCGCCACAAGGCTTTGAGGTGCGAGACTCGACAGGGTGGTCATCAATTCAACTCAATCGCCCCTCCGGTGGACAAAAGATCACTATGTGCACCGTGCGAGCGTGCGCGTGCCATAAAACAGACCGTGCCACCCCTGTTTCAACTCAATCGACGCCCCAGATTGAATTGATGACCACCCTGCGTCCAACTCTTTGGACTTGGGCCGTTTGGCGAGCCTGCCACTGCCTACAGACATCGTGGCGCCGAGGGGAGTGTCGAATCCCGCCATCGGCTGTCGGGGTCACTGCAGGGAATCTTCTTGCCAGACCTACAAGAACGGCTCCTCCACCGTGCCGGCCCATTCAATTCGCACCCATGGCTTCCCGCAGACTTGCGTATTGTGATATAAAGTGCTAAAGTGATATTCATATTCATATTCACATATTCGCAAAAAGTGTGCTAGAATATCACCCTAGCACTTTAGCACGATTGGTAGCACTATAGCACTTTAGCACGATTGATATCACTATAGCACTCTAGCACGATTGATATCACTATAGCACTTTAGAACAATTGGTATCACTATAGTACTTTACCACCTATGCTGTCAGACATCCGCAAATCAATCAAAATTAACATCGGAGTCTTCATCGCCGCCACTATCAAAACCCGTATCAGTAATTACACCCATACCACCATGAACAGTCTTCTGGATATGGCCTTCACGCAGCCAGTTACCTATACATTCAACCTTCTCAAGATTCTCGCAAGTCATTCGTTCTCTATCCCAGGAGAGAGTTCGTCGACCACCAGAGAAAGCAGATTCCGGATCAGCTGATTCAGGCGCGATTGAGAGGATATCAATAGCCATTCGACTTAGCTGAGGATAAGTCTTCCGCTGGTCCTTATGACACCACCATTGAAGTGGTGATCCACTTATTTTGATGGGTGTTGCCTTGATAAAGTCTTCAAGATCGTCCATACAATCGCCCAGATCCTCGGTGACTTCCAACTCTTCAAGTAAAGCGTCCCACTCGTTCGGCTGCCGCTTTTGCGAAGCACATACCTCATCAACCGACTCTGCAGGTCCAGTCTCAGGCTGAGTTTTGTACTCTTCTTCCCAAATTGTACGGACACCAGCAATGGCGTTCTCGTGCCATGACTCTGGCCAGTGGCGCTCAATGTACCTGATTCGCTTTGAAGGATCAAGAAGGAGGGCGGCAGCGTAAACAGGCGCATCTTCGGTCATCGTATAATACTTGTCGAGAATGAACCAGCCCATCTCAATTGAATGAAGGATACGGCGATCAAGCGTCTCTGGCTTCGAGTAATGTTCCTAGATTGGATAATTAGCCAAGTTAGGGTTTAGAGTCTATCAAGAGACAGCAAACCTTGTTCTTTTCATAGTGGCGTAATAAACCATCCATAATTGTCAATATTTGCGACAATGTAGAATTCTTACCCTCAGCCCATAAAGTTGCTGACGCGAACGGGTGGAGAAATCTATGTGTTTTTTCAAGGTAATCCCAATCTGATGAGTTGAGGATATTATCGTTGATCTCCTTATCGTAATCAAGCAAGAATTGCTTGATCTGTGATTGCCTTCTGATAAGATTATCGATCAGCTTATACCAAGAGTTCCATCGGGTGTCGTTATCGACCCCAAGCCGCAAGCCTACTCGATCCTCCCATAGATCACTGTGGATAGATGAATTTCGAAGCCAGACCGCAATGTTATGTAGTTTACGCATCGCCAGGATGGTTTGCCAGCCTCTGAAGTTGTCATCCTTGAAATCGGGGGCCTTCCGAGCGGCCCTTTTAGCCTTTCCCTTCCATATCTTACTGAAAGACTGTTCTTGCTGTCCCGAACCTTCAGACCGCGATGCTGGCTCGTTGGCGGATATATCATATAGTGTGAAGTAGAATTGTTCGTACATCTCGGCGCCGGCCACGTCGCTAGCAGCGGCAAGTGCTGCGCGTAAAGCTTCTTTCGAGGACGCAAGGAGAAAGGCTTGAAGGGAGAGATTTATAATATAAGCGATGCATTAGATTCGACGCTAGCTGGAATGGAAAGATACCTAGACTTAGTTAACCAACTATCTATTAATTAGCGTTCTAAATAGCATACACTGTATTTATCCTGTAGCATTTGTGAGAGATGCTTTAAACAGGTATTGTTTAAAGTAGCATTATCGCCGGTATAATAGCCGACTTGCTTCGTAATGCTGTATTCTTTGATTGCTTCCGCCATTAGAGTTGCTTGGCGCTCGCTACTATGGCTGTATCGACATTCAGGTATAGCTAGCAGGGCCTTTTAAAGTCGATAGCCATTATTAACCCATCTAGCGCATACTGCTAGAATGCTATGCCGATGAGGTAATGTCTAGAGATTGATCGAGAGATGGATCTTTAATACAGACGCCTGAAGCTTTGCTCTTAGTTGGGATCGGTATAAGTCGAAAGTAGTGATAATATAACACATTACCGCATCGCGGGACATGAGGAGAAGATCCTTAATAGCCGGATTGCATGCCAATATAATATCCTGCATCTCATTCTATTTCACCGCAGAGAATGGTAAACGACGGCGTGTGAGAAGACCGACAATTGATTCTATATATTGCTGTCAGTTAAAGACGCGGCGTAAAGTGGCATCTGATAGCCGACTCTGAAAAAAATTGTCCATCCAAGGCTGCTTGACGGCCGGGTAATAATATCTGAGTCATGCTCGTCTACGGTACTGGCCTCTGTCTGAAGAATAGAGGCATGATTTCTTTTTGCATAATATATAGCATTGTCACGCTTTCTATTTGACCATGGACTATCTGGGAGACAATAAAGGCATTTATATATAACACGACCAGACGTCTTTCGTTTGCCAGATGGCCCTAGTTTGGCCTTCTCTGGATGAGTGGTGCGGAAAATGACGTCGAAGCTAGATGATTCGAAGGGCAGATCATCGGGTGATGCTCTAGTCTGTGATCGAGTAAGGGTATCAGTGATAACTTTTGAAGATGAACTCATGATTCAATATTGAAAGTCGAGGCAGCAGACTGCCGGACAGCGCGCTCTCACTAGGTACCGGTAACTCATAATCTAATGATGATCGGAATGATTGTCTCCTGTCTCTTTCTCATCATGGTTGTTCTTGCTCTCCTCCTTCTTATAGGTAAAGAGGCGAGGTATGATACTAGACCTGCTGACCCTGCAACAGACCTGTAACACTGTTCTGACGATTCACGCGTAATCGTGTGACACCGTTTCCTGTGGCTACGCAACACTTATCATCCATGCTACTTCTCCAACACCAGGGATGGACATCTTACGAACGGGAATCGAATTGATAGACTAATTCGATGCCAAGTCTCTATCGAATCGAATTTTATTCGCTATCGAATCGAACGGGCCCAAACGTTCGATCGAAATCGATCGATTCGGTCGAACGAGTGGCGCGGTTCGCTGAAACTCTCATTTCTTGAAAGCGTCAACCGACCCCTGACGCTACCTGACGCGATCGAGCTTGATTTGGTGTGGGGGAATACGTGAGCACCCTGGTATCTTTCTAGCACTGAGACATAGGGTAGGCCCGTCTTGTAAAAACTTCCACGATGAACTTCGACACATGCTGATTTTCCGTAGATTGGAAGTAATGCAAACAAAACTGGCCCGTTTAGATATCTCCCGTCAGGAGCTTTCTATCGGTGCCAATGTTCTCACGGTCAGAAGACCATTTCGACCTTGGAGTCTCACATGTCTCGTGTGTCCTCAACCTGGAAATGTCGCGTTGTGCGCCTCGATGGTCTGTGCACGATGACACAAGCCAATAGGGGTGTTGCAAAAGCTAGGTCCAACAAAAGTAGATAAGGTTATCTAATCTTATCTGATAAGCATACTACACGGCCGATAGCATTTTAGCTATCGTGATATCACATTTAGCTGAAAAAAAGTGTGATATATATTCACGGTGATATATATCACTTTAGTGTGACGGCAGCCACGGTAGGTGTGACGGCAGCCAAGGTAGGCAAGCCACCTGGCCGTCACAAGGACCCTAACCCTTAGCCCCACAGTCGCGTCAAGACTTCGCGAGCCAGGGACCGCCAGAGCTTCGTTCTCCCCTTTCTTTTCCTCTCCTCAGCTTAGAATATTCGTTGATAGCGCCAATAGACCCAGCTCCCATGCTGCATCTCGTGCTGGCCGTGACACAACGTGCCTTGAGGCGAATTGGGACGGTGTGTGAGTGGTCTGGACAACTTTGTATTGAATTTGAGTGGGCTTCTGTCAGCCCTCCTCATAGTCCCTCCGACATCGTCTCACCCGCGGACACGCGTGGGTTGGCTCTGGTGCAAGAATAGAGAGGCCGGAAAATTCGCCCTTCAGACCCACTATCTTTGGCTTTAAATAGCCAGCCAACCCTAACCCTGACAGTAACTAAACTAAATACAGATAAACTTCAGAAATCAGGCTATCTAATGAACTAAGTTACATACTTTTTGGGTAAGAAATAAGGGGAATGCAGAGGTACGAAGTTAGGGTCTTAAAATAACCCAAAAAATCGACTCACGGCCACCAAACTCATCTCCCGGCGTGCACGCCACGTAGGCACATAGCCGAAATCGAGCGTTTCCGTTTAACATTAACTAATATAAATAAGATAAATATTTAATAATCACTAAAGGTTTTATTTTAATTAAAGGTATTGAGAAAATAGCCGCTATACTAGTGCAAAAGCAACGCGCTGCACTTACAAGCTAGTAAGAACAACTTATATTTTCAGGACACTGTTTAACAAAAGACAACAGACTAATTATAGGTGAAAAAAAGAAAGAAAAAAAGTATACTGTTTTTAAAGAAACCTTTAAGCT